ATTTTATGAATTGATAGATTTTTAAATAAAAAAAATCAATTATATAATAATATATCATATTATAAATTTATAATACCATATAATATTATAACTCTAATTTTTTTTTATTTTATATTTAAGTTTTTAATTTTATAATACAAAATTGTTATAAACTGGAAACCATTATATAGAAAACACAGCTCCCATGCATATTTAATTAAAAAAACTTCGCCACTTATTGAATAATTTAAATTACATAATCTATTTAAATTTTAATTGCATGGTACACTGAATATATTTTCTAAAAAGTTAAAATTCCATTTTTTTAAAATAAAACCCAATAAAAGCTCTAGAATTTAATTTCTAATCTCGCAGCGTACAAATAAAACTCAGCATCATCCCTTTCCAATTCTATCTGTGTGTTGAAAGGAAGAAAAGAGGAGAAGCTGAAGATAACAGCAAGCAAGAAAGTGAAAGTTGGGTTCGAGTTAAGTATTGCTGAAGCAAGGGTAGGGGAACTGTATCTTACACCAGTTGACATACAGTTCTGCATTACAGTAATCCTGCAAAACCCAGATACACCATCAAATTTCTGCATTCAAGGAGCCAAACCCACTTCTTAAAATCAACAAAAGTAACTTCCTTTAGACACAATTTCTCACCCAACAAAGCTGAGGAGGAAAAATTTGCAGAGTACAGAGAAATTGATTGGAGGTCTCTTTGTCCTGCATACATAAGTAGAACCATTTAGCACCGCAAAAACTAAAAACTCAACAATACATACATAGAGATTAAGTGGATCTTGTTGATGATGGGAAAGAGCAATTGAGGAAGAATGCAATGGGGAGGAGGATGAGAGAGCCCAAAGCATTTCCATAAACAACCAAGACAAAGGAACTCGTCCCCTTTGACGTGGCTGCTTTGTTGAGAGTGTTCAAGCCAACTTCCAGACACTCCAACGACACCATCGCTGCAAATGGCGCCAATCCGACCAAGAACAACTTTATCCCCATCTGTCTTTCACTGACTCAGCCTTCCTCAGATTTTGGGAATTGTTGAAGATGCTTTTCAGATTCAATTTCTATGAGTGGGAATAACAGAAAAGTCAATAACGAGAGATTCCGTAAGATTTGGCAGCTACAGGTAACTCTGTTAGCTGCTGCAGGGAAATGCATTGTGGTTTAATTGAAATAGTAATATTTAATAAGCAAAACTGTCCCTTAAGCCCCTAAACTTATCTCAAATTCTTGATTAAACCCTTAAATTTTTAAAGAAGTAAATAAGCCCCTAAACTTGGTAATTTAGACAATTTGGCTCTCTTTTTTATAGCATAATTAACACTTGTTTATACCTTACTTACATGGATAAAATATTGACATGTCATTGATTACATGATGGGTATTTATTTTATCTACGCAAGTAAGGTATAACAAATATTAAGTTTTCTTTGAAGAAAATAATTAAATTGCTCAAATAGTTAAATTTAGGGGCTTACTTGCTTCAATAAAAATTTAGAGATTTAAAAAAATTCTAGGATAAGTTTGAGAGTTTAATGTAAGATTTTGCATATTTAATATTTAGTGAGTATTAAAATTAAAATTAAACAAAGATTGTATCATGTTTCATGGGGCCAGCTTATATGCTTATATTATTAAAAGAAAATTCATAATTCAAATAATTACGAAGTAGGGAAGCAAGACTATAAGGTATGAAGTCACCAAGAACATTGCCAAATCCAAGTAAGGAGGCAATCAAATAAAACTTTTTAATAAATATTGATTTTAACTATCTCATCTCACTCCCAATAAGGTATGGAGTAGTCGAGAACATTGTCAAATTTGTCAAAGGAAGACAATAAGATAAAAACTCTTACTAAAGATCCCAACTACCCTTCTTCCTCATGGGCATTAACTAGCTTATTAAACCATACATAAAACTTTAGTAGCTATGATGGGTATCAACCTCCAACCTAACATCCAACATAAAAGTTAGCAATTTTGAATAATTTCAGTTTGGATTGATATTTTAGTTTACCAGTCTGGATTGAAAGAAAAAAAAAAAACATTTCAAAAAAAAAAAGTTTGCAACTTTTCCCTCAAATGATGGCCAACAACTTTAATTGGACTTAATTGCACGTTGATGACTAGTTCAAGGGTTAGTTGATGCATTTATTTCAGAAAATAACGGGTCTGTAATATTGGGTCGGAGCTCCAACAGACTGATGGGCTCACCAGCGGAACACTACAGGGTCGAGGCTGGAGCTGGGTAGACGCCGGATTCCAATTTGACGACTTCTTTCTGGTTCCGAATCCAATTTCTCTGCTCGTGGAAAATTTAGCTTAGAAGAAGGAGATGGGTACGGTGGAACCCAGTTTGGAAGAATTTTTTGAGCAAAAGAAGCGAATCAGGAACCCTCTTGTTCCAGTCGGTAATTCCCCTTGCAATTTTTCATTATTTTTGAAGTTTAAATCTGTTTGGACTCTTGTTTTGAATCTTTCGGTACGTGTTCTTGGCAAGTTTTAAGGAAATGAATGAGATTGAAATGTGTTTGGTTGCAAGTTGAAAACTTTTAGTTGAGTTTTAGGGAATTTGAAATTTGGTGCCAGCAGATCCATTTTCAGGATTAAAACCCTTCTTTTGGAATAATTTTGTTATTATTATTATTATTATTGTTATTATTATTATTGATAAAGTGATCTCCTTGGATAGTTGATTTGGAGAATTGATTGTTAACTTTGACAAGGAATTGTACAACCCCTGCCAGAAGAGGTTTCAGACAACTTTTATAAATTTAAATGGCGACTGAGGTTGCTTCACTTTTTTCTGCATTGTCTCTGTGAGACTGTGACCATGATTGTTAGTTATTCTTAGATCAAATAGAGGCAGTGTTAAATGGTTACTTGCAGTTTAAATATAAGTGGGAGCTGAACTCTTGCTTTCAGCAAAAGCTTTAGAAGAAATGGTTTGACCCTTCTTATGATGGCTAGAAAATTGTGTTATTTTATGTCAAGTTGTGTTTATAATTAGCTAATCTTGATTGATTCATTCTGCGTTTGTATGGATGATGATCAGTCGAGCATTTGGAAAATATGTTTTTTTTTTTTTTTTTTTCATTACACTTTTGGTTGGTTTATCGTGTGGAGGAGGGTTAATGCATCAAACTTTGGCATGATGATCAATTCTTTGATGGCAAATTTTTGAAGATATTGGAGGGAGAGGCCTAATGCTTAATTTATTTCTCTGTAATTTCCTGGGCCGGTAGATTTCTTGCCTACTTTCAGCATTTTAAATTGCTATTGTGTTTAAATTGCTATGAAAAATCTCTAAACCAGCAGCAAGTATATTGTAATATCCACAACCCCTTTCTTTTCGTTCTTAAAAACTAGTGGCTTTATTATTATGGTTCAGTTTGTTTGACGTTTGTGAGTTCAACAGGTGCTCTTATGACTGCAGGGGTGCTTACTGCTGGATTAATCAGTTTTAGGTGAGGCAATTCCCATTTGGGTCAGATGTTAACGAGAGCTAGGGTGGTTGTTCAGGCGGCTACAGTTGCATTTATGGTTGGCACAGCATGCTACTACAGTGGAAATCCCTGGAAATCGGGTTAGATTCTATAACTTGCTTCCAGTTTTTCAAAGTTTGATGTAGTTCTTACCTGAAAAGCATACCACAAATAGGGGAACAATATTCCTCGTTGGAAAACTTTTTTCCTGCAACCAAACAAATTTTTAGATTAATTTTTGTGCACACTCTCTACAACCAAACACATTTTCATATCATATTTTTCTTGCACTTCCTTTGCAACCAAACAAAGAATGAAAATCAAAATGAAAATGAAAGTCGAAATAGATGAAATCTGGAAAGAAAAAAGTGACAAAACTAGATATTTTCACACAAAAAAAAAGAGTTCATAACATAAATGCAGACATTACAAAATTACATAAAAATACAAATAAGTTAACGCCATAAAAGACTTTTAACAAGATTCTTCTAATGCGGTCCATTGGCCATATCTGACGAGATTATTGATCTAGACTTCAGTCTATAAACATCAAGAGCAAGGGGGAGCATCCGCCAGTAGAGCAACAAGGGGATGGGAAATCCTAGGTATGCTATAATAACTGGTAGTCCCAGCCACTTTTTTGGCAACATGATCGTAAGAGCAAAACCGAAGGCAAAGAGCATCGTTGCTATTGAAATTATGAGTAATAAAATAGCGAACATCAATTGCGCGGGCAAGTTTTTGCGAAGATCAACTGGACCATAGGATCCTGTGAGTATGGTCAGAAATTTCAGCATTGAAGTTGATGCAGTAAGGAGGGACACCACATCACATATTAGAAACCCGAAAAACAGTTTTCTATGCAATAATATGGGGATGCCGGTTTCTTGGTTGTTCCCGCCTGGAACTGTAAAAAGTGCTGCAAACATAATGGTGACAAGTAAAACAGGTACCAGAATATAAGAATTTGCAGAATTCTTTGCCCATTCATTCGCTTCTTTTCTCCATTGCTGGTGTTCTCCGTCGAAGACTTGGGTTGGAGTTTGACCATAAAGATTTTTGGCTACTTGATACCAGTATGGAAGGAGGCTTCCAACTGCCTGTCAATTCATAGTAGTATTAGCCTTAAATACTCTTGTTAAATAAGATTTTGAGTTGAAAACAACAATTCTCAAAATTAAATGAATTCACTTAAGAATATTAGTAATGCAATACTTATAACAACACATTTATGTTTCAAAATTATAATACTATCTGATATTATTACTATATTATTTTTTAAATATAAAGTGACAAATGCAAAAAAGTGAGAAAACCCCCAAAAAAGAAAAGCTGAACCAAGAGGTTTCATTATATAATACAGATAATATTTGCTTGCCATTTTATAGTTTCAAGAATCAGAAAGAAAACTTTTTTTTTTCTAATTTACTTTCAATAAAATTAAATAATGGATGAAAATATAGCATATTTTCAATGTTAATTTGAGAAAAGAAATATGAAGTTAATTAGAGTTAACTGATAACCTCGAACCACTCTACTTCTCGTTGCAGAAACCAAGCAGGAAAGAGAGTAACATAAATTCGAGAGTCTGGTAACTTGGCTACCAGATGCAACACGTTGTTTCCATCTTCATCTGTTAAAGAGAGAAATGTTTTCTTCCCTTCATCAAGCCTCAAAACAAACCCTAAAATACCTCCTCGACGATATTTGATTGCAGAGATGAGTATTTCTCTTGAAAGGTTTTTATTGCACCAAATTAGATCTGGGTTCGATTTGAGGATCTCAATCACAATTTCGACGGAGCCATCCTTGATTGCTTGGAAGATTGCTGAGATTGTTCCACTTTCAACAAGTTGTCTGGCATCCCTGTAGGTTGATATTTCCTTGCACCGGTATTGCAAAACCGAATTGGCAAACGTATGGGTTAACTTCAGATTATATAAGAATCGTGTACCTACACCTACACCTAGTCGAGACAAAGAATCGTGCAGAAAAAGAAAAATTACTTGAAGAAATTCTAAAGAATAACAAAGAAAAAGGTATAGTTGAGTGGACTTCATATACCTTCGAAAATGATGTGTAATATTGCTCTTATTACTTTAATCCATGCTTCTGCAATATCAAAATAGACAAACTCCATTCATATACTGGCTTGATATTTAATTTATTGTATGTCATTTGATTCAATTTATAGGTAACAGAAGTATACCATGTATTCGGAAGATTTTTGTTCTGCTTCTATCCGTATTCTCAGAGGGAGATGGCAGCTTAACCATAAATAGATCTTCAATAACAATGAAGGAAATTAATATTACTTAAGTAAAAAATGGAGCAAAAAGCAGAAAAGAACTTTTATTTCTTTTCTTTATTTATTGTAAATTTGGGGTGTAATTATACCTAAATGTACTATATTTTAATTTATACCAACAAAAGTTTAGGTAAATTAGTACTTATAAATTTGAAAACTTGAATTTGGGTAAAGGATAAATATTCAAAGTTCTGTATTGTTAAATAGCTAACCTTTTAATATACACAAAAAAAAAAAAAAAAAAAAA